TTTTTGGTTCTTCTCATATACAAAAGCCCCATATACACTTGTATCTATTTTGATACTCTCTATTTTGTTATACAGACTCATTTGTTCATTCTTTTTGGTAATATTACGTTCTCTAATTATCATAACTTTGTAACATTATTAATATTCTGTTAGGTTAGTTTCTTTCTCTTTATTCATTCTTTCCAGAACTTTCTTATCTATTATTAAAGGTTTATTCTTTCATATGAATTTCAGAAACAGTCTATCAATTGGGCAAGTTTTATTAAAAACCCTGTTAGGATTCTTATTGGAATGACATTGAATTTATAGATTTATATCAGAATCACTCATAGATATTTCTCCATATATTTATACATGGAGAAATTATATTCTTCTATATATGGAGAGAAAGAGACAGAAAGATAGTCATGTTGTTATGTCTTTCAGTAATTGCTTTATAACATTTCCATAAAACTAAAATTCATCTTTTATTAGATTTAAGTACTTTATAATAATTTTATATAATATTTTTATTTCTATTGTTAAGAGAATCTTTTATATGTTATATGAAGAGTTACAGCTGATGTTTAAGAATGTTATTGGTTTCTATATGCTAATTTCAGTATTAATTGTTCCAATTTTTTTCCCAGTCTTTGGAGCTTAAGTTTTTAAGGTAGACTTAGTACCTCAGTATCTGAAAAGGTCAATGAAGTTATCTTGGACTACCTTTTCTTTAACACTATAGTACATATGGCAGGGTCAAAGTTTTTAATGTGACATTCAGGGCAAAGTCTAAAAGGTATTTATGACAAAGTTTGTTTGCTAATATCAGTTCACTTGCAACGATGGTTTGGGCTAAATCCACTTACATCTTCTCTTTTACCTTGTTTTGTGCCCACATAACAGCTGTATCGGTAAGTAGAGTTCTGCTCTTTTGGATATTTAGAAATATCAATTCTAGTATACATTATCCATTCTGTACATTTGTTTTCTTTCAGATTAAGCATCTTTCTAAAGGAAATGGTAAGTATCAATTTAACTGCACTGAGAGTGTTTCTGAACTTTTTCTCTTTTGTTCAGCAAGACTACTGACAATTTTTTTCTCACTTTTAACAGTACATGATGCAGAGCTTGGTGAACAGAAAGATATTTCAGAAATCAATTTAGGTGGGTTCAATTTTTTTATCATTAATGTCTTGAAATACTTTAAAACTCAATGAAAGGATCACTAAAAGGCATTGACCTTCATAATAGTGTATTGTATTATTAAGAGATCTTGGGGAGAAATATTTATTAGTGCTTTATTAGGATTTTCAGTTTCCGAAAAATGAAAATGTAGAAAGAGAAAGATGGTTAGATAGGATTTTCTAGGAGGCCTAGTGAGTCCTCAATGGATCTAGAAATACATAACAAGTTTTTTGTTTATAAAAATGTCATTTTTCCAGTTTCTATTTTTAAGGAAAGGAAATAGGAATGGGTGATTATCCTGCTTAAGAAAATTATAAGGAAGAAGTCTCTGGTTATATTTAGCAGAGAAAAAAAATCCCAGCACCTCTACTGGCCCATCATATTTACTAATGTACTGGTTGTAATATTTACTAATTTACTGGCTGATTGAGACTTAGAGAAGAGTGTAAAAGTATTTCCATTTAGACATCTTGTTCACAAATATATGTCTTGAAGAAATCCACCATTCCAATCCATTATTGAGAAGAGAGAGAAACTGAGTCATTGTCTCTCTTTTCCTTCTGTTGTCCTGCTTCTAAATGAGAGAAGCCTCGGCACTCGGGTGTCTTTGGTTAGGACTGGTGGAAGGAGAGGTACTCATGATCATACACACCTTACTTCACAAAATCTTTCATATCCAGTTGCATATTTATGTGTCTAATTTTGTACTGCGGTAAGTGCTAGTTTCATTTTGTAGGAAACGGCAGGAAGCCCCTCATAGTTAGGGTGACTTGCCCAAGATCACGGCCATGGGAGTGATGGGGCTCACCTCTGGGTCTTCTGACTCAGACCTCAATAGCTCAGTGCTATCTGAAGATTGCAAAACTAAAAAACCCATATCTAAGGGTTAAGTTTCTCTGGCTTTGTCTCATTCACAGGGAAGGCAGCTAGTTAACATTTAATTGGAATATCTTGAGAATGACTGCATGGGCAGAGTAGAAATAGTTTAGGAAGGTCAGGTAGGGTGCAGTGGCTCATGCCTGTAATCCTAGCACTTTGGGAGGTGGAGGCAGGAGAATTTCCTGGGGCCAGGAGTTCTAGACTAGCCTGAGCAAGAGTGAGACACCATCTCTACAAAAATAAAAAATAAATAGCTGGGTGTAGTCGTGTGCACCTGTAGTCCCAGTTACTTGGGAGGCTGAGGCAGGAGGATGGCTTGAGCCCAGGACTTTGAGATTGCAGCAGTGAGTTGTGATTATGCCACTGTACTCTAGCCTGGGCAACGAAACCTCCAAAAAAAAAAAGGAAAGAAAAAAAGTTTAGGATGGTCAATGGATGGGATGGGTGAACGTGTAAGTGGATTTAGAGCCAGGCACGAAAATCTCTGTCTTTAGAGTCAGTCAAGGGTATATAGCTTAAAGGAAATGCTGTCTTTTAAAACAAGGCTGGGGTTAGAATTAGAGTTTTTCTAATATCGTCCTTATTTATCTAGTAAAAATTAATTATTTTACTTCTGAAACCTTTCTTCTCCTTCAGCCCCACCTCTGAACTGTGACCCCAAAGAGAAATCTCTTTGCCACGTCAATCCTCTTTTTTGGCCATTCCAACCCAGCCAAGAGGATTGGGTCGGTCGTGTAGCCAGAGTCCAATGTCATAAATCGCCTGGGAAAACCGTACAGAGAAAGCTGTCACCTTTTGACCCCCTTCCCTCCACGCCTCGCAAAGCTGACCCAACCTTCCTTCTGCTCTGCCCTGGACCTGCCTCTCACATCCTTGTCATTTCAGTAAATGCGGCTCACTCCTTCTAGAGTGTAGGCTCAGAACCTCAGAGTCACCCCTAACTCGTGTCTCTTGCACCTTCCACACAACCCGTCGGCACATGCCATTGGCTCTACCTTCAGATTAGGTCATGAGTCAAGACTTTGTAACACGTTTACCGTGCCCACCCTCGTCAGCCACCTCACACCTGGCCTGGTCCTCCAAGTGGCCTCATAGCTGCACCTCCTTCTCTGTCTTCACCCCTGTAGACAATTCTGCACAGCACGGCCAGAACTGTCCTTACACTGCCACTTAGTGTGTCTACAGGAACAAATTGGTAATGAATGGATTGAGTCTTGCTTTCACTGAATATGCATTCCTTTGGGAGGTTCTCCCAACCCCTATGGCCCCATCCATGCAGACTGACCATTGGAGCCAACGGCTGGGTGGGCTTGTTCACGCCGTCACTCTGGCAGGGCTTCTCACCTTCATCGTTGCTCAGGCCAGGTGTAAGGAAATGCATAATTTTGCTTGTGACAAGCCTCATGATAGTAGTAGTATGGATGGATCAGAACAAAGCACCTCTATTCAAGGGACAATTCAAAACCTGAGTCCTAATGGCAGGGGGTCCAATGCTGTTTGTTGTTTAATTGTACTGCTATTATATGAATAGGTCAGGGTGGAGGAGGTTAAGCAAATCTAGGAAACAGGTGCATGAGGAAGGGGGTGGTGCAAAGATAGCCTTAATCATGAGCAAGTGAAACCATGATGCCGCCTAACACTTCCTTGCTGTCATCATAGAGATCAAACCAGTTCCTAATGAGCCACAGGCTTTGCCAAACGGGGCCTCTATTAGCACATCAGGCCATGGTGGTTATTCTCCACCACGGTTTCCCAGCTGCCATCAGGGCCTGTCCTCGGAATAAAGTACAATCCGATGGTCTTGTCTGAAGCTGTTTGCAGTTTACGAAGAATGCTGCTTGTCACCTGAGAGTTACGATAAGAAGAAGTGATGTCCTTTTAAGTACTTGAGAAATTTCCCAAGGATCTTCCCTTTTAAGAGTCTTGCTTTCAGAAACAGTATGAGCCCAGGATTAAGCACTAACAACAACAGGAGAATATAATCTGCTAAGCATCTGACAGCAGAAATTTGGAGATACAGTTTTGAATAGATCTATCCACATTCCCCTCCTCTTATTTATTACAAGACCAGCACCTTGAGCTTGGCTGTAGATTGTACCATCGCTTCTTCATGGGAAAGAGCAAAACCAACTCATTTACCTAGGGACAGGGTGTGGGATGGTGCAGTAGCACAAAGGGCTCTGAATGGGAAGGCGGGAGTCTCCATGCTCACTTGGCCCCCAACCACCTAGTGCGTCACTTTGAGGCTCTGGGCTCCACTTTTTCCTTTGAATTATGGGAGTTTGAGAGTCAACGATCCATAAGATCCCTTCTGACCCCTCTCTTACTTCTAAGACTCCTAGACAAGTTTTCTTGTTCCCAAACTGAAAACGGGATGTGACACTATGTGATGCTGACTGACCATTCACAGTTGCTCAATTGGAGGGAATTTTTACATTGTTTTAAAAGGAGTCTCAACCCATAGAGGTTAATAATCAAATATTTATAATGACAAAGGTTAACGTTATCATAAGAGATGCCTTTTAATAATGCTCATTCAAATACATATATATATTTAAATCCACATCTAGCTGCAGGCTTGGACCTCTTTCAAGGGGACATCCTCTTAAAGGTGAGTACCTGCCCATGACACAATAACATTCCTCATGACCGGCCGTGCTCTGTGGCCGGCCTTGCGATGGGTAGCACGAAGAAGACGAGAGTTCTAATCTGTAACCTGCACCTGCGAGGACTTCCATGGTGCCTGGGAGTGACAACAACAGAGGAGAAACAAGCAAACAACACAAGAGTGCTGTGATTGTTCAATGGCTTTTCTGCCCAATTTTCCTAACTAGTGAAGAATGAGAGAAATGCACCAATATGTTTTCTAGCAGCTATCTCAGTTTCAGGGAACTGCAGGTCCTCTTTATTTTGTTCTTAAAATTTTTCTCTGATTTTTCCAAATTACCTCTCAGGACCTTCTATTGCTTTTACGATCAGAAGACAAATCGCCACTAAACTGTTTGAATTGTGGGATGGGCTGTTTGTGGTATGGGAGTTTGGCGAAGGAGGAGGTCAAGGTGACCTTGAGGTCTAGGCTTCCTGCTCATCTTTGCTTTTGTTTTCACAGAACTCCAGAAATGCCTTGAGAGACCCAAGCACCAGATGGAAGTTCCCCATTCCTTACATCCTGGCTGACAACCTGGGTAATGTTAATTGTTCTTAATTAGGGGCTTCTGGTTTAACTTTTCTCCCCCACTTCCTTCCTGTTCATTGGCTTCAGACTGGGAGTAACTGCCAGACCATAAAGAGGATTCCCAAACCCGGGTGATTCATTATCTCATGGGAAGAAAGACATGACCTTGTATCAAACCCAAAGACTTCCACCGTATTTGGTATTGACAACAACAGAGGAAAAACAAGCAAACAACCCAAGAGTGCTGTGATTATTAAATGGCTTTTCTACCCAATTTTCCTAACAAGTGAAGAATGAGAGAGAGAAAAGATAATACACCAATGTGTTTTCTAGCAGCTATCTCTGCTTAGCCAGAGATACACAATATCAAAGAATAATTTTAAAATTGTACCACACAGTAACGTGTTACTAAAACCTGGAGCAACATAAAGAACAAAAACCATGATGAAATATAATTTGGCATCGTAGCAATGAAAAAACTGCCCTTTAATAGTTTGTTTGGGTGAATTTAAATACAATATGAGGGTACCATTTTCAGGGTATTGATTTCTTCTCTTTCGGCACAAGAGAAAAATGCCACATGTAAAAAGTCCATATTTCACGAGTTCACGGTCCGTGTGCTCAGTATTAATGATTTCTACTCTATTCTCTCTCTTAAGATAAAGGTCTGAATAAGTTACGTTTTACTCATTGTTAGAAATAAATAAATATTAGAAACCAAGTGTAGGCACTGGCCAGCCCTCAAACAGTGACTGATAGCTGAGCGGCCACAATGACTCAATGCCCACGAGGCCCATCCTTCCTGGGTAGATGGGCAAGATCAGAGAGGAAAGGGGAAGTCAGGACAAGGTTGCTTATTTGTGCTAGGCTGCTAGGCTGCTCCCACTGTCAGGAGATGTATTATAGCTTAGGCTTCAGCATTTTCCATCATCATTATCAGTGCTGCCTATAACCCTTTTTCTGGAGAGCAGCTAGAGATAAACAAATGCTGTTGTTCTCGGTTGTGTAAGTACTGTGTGCTAACTGATTGTACTGCTGGAGTTTCTGTTCCCAGTTATTTGTTGGAAAATTGATTTATTTTCTCCAGTGTTTGCCTTGCAAATTCATGGGGCACCGATATTTATCGGAGTGTGATTTAAGAAACACCAGCTTTAAAAGAGGTTCTTTCCCATTACAATTCTTCTTCCTGTTTGTCACATTTGTGTCACCCTACTATGTGCCAAGCACTGTGCCTCCACCTGATGTTTTCACCTTCACCAAGTCTCTGTGAGGTGTCAGTTCTTCCCAGACTTTAAAGTGCATAAGACTCACCTGAGGATCCTGTTAACACACAGAGTAGGTCAGGGTCACCCCCCGGATTCTATGTGTCTAACAGTCCCCCAGGGAATGCTGATGGGGCTGGTCTGCACCCAGACCACAGCTTGTGTTGCAGGGTCCATCGTGAAAGCAAACCTACCAACTAGAGCTTAATATTTGTGTAGATTTCCTTTATTAAAGTTAGATTTATATAGAATAAAATAAATCAGTAGACAAGGCTTTAGACAGATGCATAAACTTACATAATCCACACTTCCATCATTCCAGAAAGTTCCTTTGGGCCCGTTCCTAGGCAATCCCCATCCCCAGTCCCCAAAAGACAACCACCATTCTCATCTTCCCCACCAATTAGTTTTTCCTGATTTACAGCAGATTTACAGATAAATGGAATCATATACTGTAGTATTTAGTCTTCGTGTCTGGCTTCTTTTTCTTACTATGTTTTTGAAGTTCTTTCACATCACAGTGGATCCAATAGTTCATTCTTTTTCTTACTACTCCATAGTATTTCTTTGTATCAATATACTGAAAATTACCATCCATTTTCCCATATGGGCTATAATGAAGAAAGTTGTGATTATTCTTGTACAAGTTATTATAGATACATGGTTTCTATTTATCCTGGATAAATGCCTAGCAGTAGAATTGCTTGATCATAGGCTAAGTCTGTGTTTAACCTTATGAGAAAATGACAAACAGTTTTCCACGGTGGCTGTGCCGTTTTTACATTCCTACTAAAAACATGTGAGTGTTCTATTTGCTCCACATCCTCACTGATATTGGTCGTAGTGATCTTTTTAATTGTAGCCATTCCAGTGCTAGTGACATGGTAGCTCCCGTTTCCCTAATGACTAATGACATTTAGCACATTTTGTTGTGCTAGTGGCTATTTGTGCATCTTTTATGAAGTATCTGTCCAACTCTTTTGTGATTTTTGAAAAATTATACTTTTTATCTTTCAATTATTTGTAGTAGAATTTCATATATTATGGATAAAGCCCTTTGTCAAGAAATACGTATTATGAATATTTTCTGTGACTTGTGTTTTTGTTTTTGTTTTCTAAGTAGTGTATTTTGAAGAGCAAAAATTTTAATTCTGGTAAAGTTTGATTGATCAATTTTTTAATTTATTGTTTATGCTTTTATATTTTAAGAAATCTTTGCTTAACTCAAGTCACAAAGATCTTCTGTCATATTTTTCAGAGCTTTATAGTTTCAGCTTTTTGTCTATAATCTGTTACAAATTAATTTTTGCATGTAGTAGGATGAAAAGGTTGATATTGATTGATCGATATTGGTTAATCTTGTTCCTGTAACCATTTTCATTAACGTGGCACCTTTGTCAGAAATAACTGTTTATCTATTGATCTATTTCTGGAATCTCTATTTTGTTATTTGTTCCACTTGGCTGTCATAATGTCAGTATCACACTGTGTTGATTAGCTTCATAATTAATCATGAAGTGAGTCCTCCAACTTTGCTCTCCTTCTTCAAGATAGTTCATCCTACTCTAGATCTTTTGCCATTTTCATGTATATTTTAGAACCAATTTATCAATTTCTCTAAAAAGCCTATTGGGATTTTGATAGGATTGTATTGATTCTATACATAAATCTGTAAAAAATTAAATATCTTAAAAACACCAAGACTTTCTAATTCATAAGCATGATATATCTACCCATTTATTTAGGTCTTCTTTAATTTTTCTCATCAGTGTTTTGTCATTTGCAGTGTAGAGCTCTTGTGTGTCTTTTGTCAAATTTATTTCTAAGTGTTTTGTATTTTTTGATGCTATTAAAATGGAATTTAAAAAATTTTATTTGTTTTCTGCTAATACATAAAAATACAATGGATTTTTATATAATAACCTCGTGTCTTGTTGCCTTGCTAAATTTACTCATCAGTTCTAATTGTTGCTTTGTAGGTGGCTTCAGATGTTTTTATGAAAATTCTTCTTGTCTATTAAATATAGAAGTGTTATTTCTTCCTTTCTAATTTTTACATCATTTATTGTTTTTTTTTCTTGCCTTATTGCACTGGCTGGGACCTCTGTTACCATGTTGAATAGAAGTAGTGAGAGTGATCATCTTTGCCTTGTTTCCAATTTATTTGTAGAATTCAATACTTCATTTATGTGGGACACTAACGATAGGTCTTCCATAGATGCCCTTTATCAGATTGCAAGTTTTCATCATGAATAATTGTTAAAATTTGTCAAATGCCTTTTCTACAACTACTGAGATTATTAACTCTATAATTTTTATTTTTTATTCTGTAATATGGTAAATGACATCAAATTTGGATGCTAAACCAACTTTGTATTTCTCAGATGAATACTACATGGTCAAAATGTATTATCCTTTTTATATTTTGTTGGATTTCATTTGATAATATATTGTTAAGGATTTTTATGCTTATATTCTTGAAGAATATATGTCTCTAATTTTCTTTTTATTGTAATATCTTTATTAGGCTATAGTGACAAGGTTATGGAGATCAGAAAACAAACTTGGAAGTGTTCCCTTCTCTTTCATCTTTTAAATGAGTTTGCGTATGATTAAAATGATCTCTTTTTTATTTATTTATTTTTTTAGGTACCTTTTTAAAGTGTTGATAAAATTTACCAATAAAATACCAAATAATGAAATTTTTTTGTAGGGTACTATTTTTATAATGAATTCAGTTTATTTAATATTTATAAAATAATGTATATTTTCTATTTCTTTTTATGCCACTTTTGTTAAAGTATATTTTTCAATGATAAAAATTTTAAGATTATCTCCATAGATGCAGAAAAAGCATTTGACAAAATTTAATAACTATTATCTTTTAACTAAGGTGTCAAAATATTGGCATAATTATCTTGTTACCTTCATAATGTCTGTATAATCTTTAGTCATATTCTTATTTCATTCCTGATATTGGTAATTTGTGTTTCCACTCCTTTTTCTTGATCAGTTTTGCTAGGGGCATATTGATTTTATTAATCTTTTCAAATATGCAACTTTGGACTTGTTCATTTTCTCTGACTTCTCTGCTTCCTATTTAATTGCTTTCTGCTGTTTATTATTTCCTTTTCTTCCTACTTACTTCAAGCTTAATTTACTCTTCTTTTTCTATATTCTGAAGGTAGAAATTTATATCATTGATTTTAAATCATTGTTATTTTCTAATATAATATATGCTACAATATGGCATCTAAAGCTATAAATTTTATTTGAAGCACTGCTTTTACTGTTTTCTACACATTTTGGTGTGTTGTATGTTTATTAAAATCTACTTTAGGTATTTTCTAATTTCTGTTGTAATTCTTTTGATCCATGAGTCAGTTAAAAATGTGTTTAAATTTTTGAAAACTCCCCTTAAACTTAATATTGTGCCACTTTGCATAAAATGCAAGCATAGTAAAATTCCACTTTATTATGTATTTATTATTTTATTAATAGTAAAATACCCCTGCCTTTTCTGGTATTCTTGCTTTATATTGTTCATCTATATACTTTATAAGTCTCACAGTATAGTGTTATGATTTTTGTTTTAAACAGTAAGTTGCTTTGTAAAAAATAACTGATTGAAAAAAGATAGTCTTTGTATTTACTTTCATACTCGTGATTTCTCGTGCCCTTCATTCCTCTTGTAGATTTCAGTTCCTATCTAGTGTCATTTCTCTTTAGTCTAAAGAACTTTCTTTAGTGTTTCTTGGAGAGCACATCTGTTGATGACAGATTCTCTTCTTCCTTTTACCTGAAAATAATCTTTATTTTGCTGTCATTTTGAGAGGTATTTTTACTGGAAATAGAATTTGTGTTCATAGTGGGTTTTTTATTATTATTTCAGCACTTTTAATTTATAATCCATTGTATTTTTCTTTCCCAACATTTGATTATAAAAAATTTTAAATATACAAAAAGTTAAAAGCATTGTACATTAAACACTCATATATTCACCACCTCGGTTACACAACTAACATTTTGGTTTATTTGCTTTATTTCATCTATCTATCCTGCCCATCTTTCTATGAATCCATAAATTCATTATATTTTTGATGCATTTGAAAGTAATTTTCAGGCACTAGTATACTTTACCCCAAATAGCTCAGCATGTATGTCATTAACTAGAGTTCAACATTTGTGTATGGTTCATTTGTATATAAAACATACATAGGGTAAAATGCATGAGTGTTTGATGTATAATGCAATGAGTTCTTAAGGATTTATACACCTCTGTAATCCAAATTTCTATCAAGAGATGAAACATTCTTATCATCCCAGAAAGTTCTTTCATGGCCCTTCCCAGTTATTCCCACTTTTACAGAAAAAAAAAAGCTATTTTTATATTTTTTTTCTTTTTTGTTCATAGATGAGTTTTACTTGTTCTAGAATTTTATTGGAATGGAATCAGTACACACTTTTTTTCTTTTGCTTTAAACAGCCAATTCCCTTTTATTGATTTTATTTTATTTTTTTATTTCAGCATATTACAGGGGTACAAATGTTGAGGTTACATATATTGCCCTTGCCCCACCCAAGTCAGAGCTTCAAGCATGTGCCAAGAATTATAAGCTCTTTGAGAGAATGCACAAAATCAAATGTGCAAGGGATATAACTTAATTTTATATAACTTGGCTTAATGTTTAACTTAGCTTCCAACCTTCAATGAGTTGATGAGAAGATGAAAAAAGCTCACAAAGTAAAACATAATCTCAGTTCCTCTGAAGAGTCTTTCCTCCCCATCTCATCCTTGCTTTATGCAATGCCAAGGCACGTGCATATTGGGTGAAAGGAAAGGCATTTGATCTTTGGTCACTGGTCCACACAGACTACTACTAGTCAGCATCTGTTGTTCCTGCCTCTCAGGTCCTTTCAGCTTCTGCTACTTGGGTACCAAGCTTTGAGTACAGAAATCTTTTCCAAAGCTCTGTTCTGTCTAGCCTGGCCATCTCTCCAGAGGTTTTGCAGGGAAGCAGGGTAAAATGCCATATGTGCTTCTTATGCTTCTGGAAGCCACGAAACTCTCTTAACTCTGCTTTCTTCCTCCAGCAAGAGGGGATGTTTTTTTTAGGCTGGTGTAAGAAATACTGTTCTCACTACTTCTCTGCAGGGTACTTTATCTATTCATACAAAAGCTAGAGCTAAGCCCAAGTCACTTCTTTTTTCTACCCTGCCATGTGACTCTCCTGTGGCAATGCACTCAAAATCTCTGCTTCAGTGGGGGAAAGCGAAAGGGGGGAGATGGGAAAGTTATTTTAAGATTTTTTTCTGCCACACACACATATATTCTTAGTTCATAGTCATGTTTATGCGCTTAAGGTATGCACTTGATGTTTTTGGCTGCAACTAATTTTGCAGTTTTAGTATCCAAGAAATTTACTTACTATCAAAAAATTTATAATGAACCTATGTGGATTTCATGTGGGGGTGTGGTTTTCTGTAAACTGTAGGTTATATATATTATTCAAAGATCTAAATAACACTCATTCATATTTTTATTAATTTCTGCAGCACTGAATGCCAAAGGAGCCATTCTCTATGCCTTTGAAATGTTCCGCCTCAGGTCCTGCGTGGATTTCAAGCCCTATGAAGGAGAGAGCACATATATCATATTTCAACAGTTTAGTGGGTTAGTATGAAATTTTACAGAGTATGAAAATCATGCATCTTTTGATTTATCAAAAGTGACACATCTCTTTCAAAGGCTAAAAGAAGAAACTGTAAAGAAATGAAAAGCAAAATCAAATCTTTCACTGCAAATTTTTTAGATTATGTAACACTTTAAACATGCTATGCAGAAAATGAATTGTTTGGATAGGTCTGGGCCTCAGAGAGAGATATCCAGTTCTTTTCTTAGGTTTGGGTTATGTTTTAAATGACAGTACTTTTTAAGAAGTAAGGTTTATGAAAGTATAAATTATATCCTTTTTTTTTTTTTGAGACAGAGTCTTACTTCGTTGCCCAGACTAGAGTGAGTGCTGTGGCGTCAGCCTAGCTCACAGCAACCTCAAGCTCCTGGGCTCAAGCAATCCTCTTGCCTCAGTCTACCGAGTAGCTGGGACTACAGGCATGCGCCACCATGCCCGGCTAATTTTTTGTATATATATTTTTAGTTGGTCAATCAATTTCTTTCTATTTTTAGTAGAGACGGGGTCTCGCTCAGGCTGGTTTCAAACTCCTGACCTCGAGCAATCCTCCCGCCTCGGCCTCCCAGAGTGCCAGGCTTACTAAATTATATCCTTTAAAGAGTAGTATTCTAAATGATAATATGCTGTTGGCTGGGCCTCTTTGAAAAGTTCTAGATGTAAATTTGTTCTTCATAGTTATGTGTTTCTAAAAAAGTGGATGGTATATCAAGAAGGAAGCCCCTTTTCTTCAGGGGTGTTTATGTCAACCGCTCTGGAGTGGATGATGTCTGGCAGTGAAACCACCATCTGCTGTGACACTGTGTGTTTGTGTCTTCAAGTCCTGTTTGGAGGTATTTCCTCACACTGCAGTCTCCAGCACTGTCTAGTTCTGACCATGGGGTTTTGATAACCATGGGTAGATAGCAGAGAGGAAAAGGGAAGTCAGCACATGATTTAGCCCCCTGGGGAAAACAAGTATACAAAAAATAGCAGCAGAAACAAGGAAAATACTGATGACTACTTAGGTGTAGTTTAAATCCCTAACTTACCTGGGTAGTTATTTTCTTAGCTCATTCTCTTTTATTTAAACAAAAAATTATGCACACCCACTGTGTGCCAGGAAGTGTGCTAGTCTGTAGGTACAAAGAAGTACGAGATCTGGTCTTAGACCTCACAAGATTTACAGTTGGCAGGTAGGAGTGGTGGAGAAACAAATAAAAAGTTTTAATATGTGTCCAGGTGAGTGCGGTGGGCTATAGCAGGACAGAAGTGGGAGCTTTCACAAAGTTCAGGGTGAAGCATCAGAGGAGCTGAGGTGACTGTAAGAGATATGAAGAAGGGAGACAGTTACGGGGCAGAGGAAAGGGAAGGACACATGGGGACAATAAGAGAGGGAGACAGGAGGAAGAGAAAGAAGGAGACGGGGAGGAGAAGAGACAAAGAGAAGAAGAAGAAGAAGTAGAGGAAGAAGAAGAGGAGGAAGAGGAAAAGGAAGAAGAGGAAGAGGAAGAAGAAGAGGAAGAGGAGGAAAAGGAAGAAGAGGAAGAGGAAGAAAAGAAAGAGGAGGAAGAGGAAGAAGAAGAGGAAGAGGAGGAAGAGGAAGAGGAGGAAGAGGAGGAGGAGGAAAAAGAAGAAGAAGAAGAAGAAGAAGAAGAAGAAGAAGAAGAAGAAGAAGAAGAAGAAGAAGAAGAAGAAGAAGACGACGACGACGACGAAGACAGAAAAAGCGAACATGAACAATGGACACAAACCTGGCTTGCTGGGAGAACTCAAAGTCCAGTGTGCCTGACGCTTTGTGTGGAGGGGGCCGAGGAACCCAGGGGCCAGGAAGCAACCAGGAGCCTGGTACTGACAGCCACGGGTGGGGAACCTACTGCTTTGTGCAGGATTCATCATGTGCTCAGTTTGCCGTTGTATAAAGATTACTCCATCAACAGTGAATAAAGGACCGAAATAGGGCGAGACTGGTGGGAAGAGACCAGCTAAAGGATGTTCCCGTCCTCCAGGAGAGAAATGAGAGGGAGCTGTCCTAAGGAAGAGGCAGTTCAAATAAAGAAGAGGGAATGCATTCCAGAAATGTGTGGAAAGACTTCTCAGAACTGAACCGTATCAGATGGGTTGAGGGGTGAGGAAGAAAGAGGGAGCAAGGATGTGTCTGAGATTACTGATTTGGATGACTGGCAAGTGGCAACCTCACTCGCTGAGGCTGGGAATATTGCTAGAAGAATAGCTTTGGGGATAGGATAGTGAGTTCATTTTGGAGCATGTGGTTTATCGTTTGAGGTTCTTATAGGTCATATAAATGGAGATAACCAATAGTGGTTGGACAGTTGCTTTTTCTGTGAAGGGGAAACATTTAAAGTATATCTCAGGCCTTGCAAAGGCCACACGTAGTGGTTCTCTTCTTCAGACTACTTGCCACTTGTCCCTTGGCAATCTCTGACCTTCAAGAAAGTACCAAAGCCTTTAATTTTTCATTGACAGTTTCAGGGAAAAATTAATTTTCTTAACACTTTTATTTCCATTCTTCAACTACCACTTTAATATCACTTGTTTTCTCACAAAGAGAAACTTCTTCAAAATAAAACAAAGTCAACATAATCACTTCCCAAAAGTCCTCCCTTTCCCAGTGAAATTCTCTTGGTTTCTTTTCAGTTTTTAACTTAGTCCCCAGTACCTGATTAAAGCATGGGTCAGCTCTGAGAGACATTCCTTATAAAAGCAGAATCTCTGGCCAGGAAGTGTCTCTGTTACATTTAAGTTAGAAGAGGGGATAAAAGAGAAAGGGGATTTGGATAAAGGACTGGCCAAAGTGTCCCCAAAGCCTTCAGGGTACTGGTCCCTGAAACTGGAAGCTAACTGGGGCTTTCAAAAAGACAAGATCAAAAGTTCAGTGTAGGGGAATCTATGGTATTTTTGTAACTTATATCTTTCTGTTGGGGGAAGATGTTAAAAAAAATAGATGGATAAAAAGATGAATATTTTGCAGATAAACTCTGATTTGGTAATGAAATGCTACTCTCAGAGAGGCAAATTTTTTATGATTATGTTTGTATAACTCAGTAAATTTGCTAAAAATAATTGAATTATATATTTAAAATTGATTAATTTTATGGCATATAAATTATACTTAATAAAGTTATTGGAAAATAAGTTAATATCCATCATTTAGTAGAAAAAAATCTATTAGCATTTGAAGGTATATAATGTTAGCAATTTGAGAGAACAATGACAGGTAATACAATGTTATTGTCACCAAGGAACTTGCAGTCAAATGGATCATCACTGTTAAAGCCTGCATAATTCCCTATAGGGAATGTCCCTGATTTAAGCATTCCTCAACTTTTGAACCATCAGTATTTAAGAATGCTATTGATAATTTCTTTTTTAAATAAACATAGCTTTCTAATTTATATTCTGGAATCCTGTGAATTACAGTCACTTAAAAATTCTCTTAGGGTGGGTGCAGTGGCTCATGTCTGTAAACCTAACACTCTGGGAGGCCGAGGCAGAAGGATCGCTCAAGGTCAGGAGTTCCAGACCAGCCTGAGCAAGAGCGAGACCCCATCTCTACTATAAATAGAAAGAAATTAATTGGCCAACTAAAAATATATAGAAAAAAATAGCGGGGTGTGGTGGCGCATGCCTGTAGTCCCAGCTACTCGGGAGGGTAAGGCAGAAGGATCACTTGAGCCCAGGAGTTTGAGGTTGCTGTGAGCTAGGCTGATGCCACAGGACTCTAGGCTGGGCAACAGAGTGAGACTCTGTCTCAAAAAAAGGATTCTCTAGAAGAAATTTTATCTCTTCTTCTCTTTAAAGGTGCTGGTCTATGGTTGGTGACCAACAAGTGGGACAGAACCTTTCCATTGGCCAGGGCTGCGACTACAAGGCCATCATCGAACATGAAATCCTGCACGCTTTGGGATTTTATCACGAGCAGTCACGGACTGACCGGGATGATTATGTCAACATTTGGTGGGATGAAATTATTTCAGGTGTGATTGGGTAGAGATTGCTATTACCTTTATCGCTGGCTGAGACCAACCCTGGAATGACCAGGCCAAATCTGTGTGTGGACAGAAGCTTCATCCTTTCCAGCAGGAACACAGACCATGAACAGGTTACAGTTTGTTGGCCTCCTTTGTGGACCGTGCTGATCTGACCATAATTCATCACAGATAAGGGTCTCAGGGAATTGGCGTATGTTGGTTAAATCAATGTGAGGCTCAACTGAAAGTTAATCAGAAGCTTTTGTTTTGTATCTGTGTTGTTGTTGAAACTCTAAGACCCTGTCTACTTTCCTGTCTTAATGAGTAAAGTGAATCAGGTCTCTGAGGATATTAGAGTCATTTTTCTGGATGTGGAGTCTCTTGTGGTCTACAAGGCTACCTGAGGTTTAGTTGACCATAAAATGACCCTAGGTGACATACACCAGAATTATTTTTTTAGTTGCTTTACCAAATGAATGATAGGTGTTTAAAAACCAAAAAGACAAAAATTAATGTTTTATCTGAATGAACAATTGTGCTAATTCTGGCTAATTGTCTGGGCTCTAGTTAATCAAAAGTTAATGGTTTTTTCTTCCTCATTCCTAAGTACCTCTCCCTCTTCTGCCCTTACCTGTACTAAGCAAAAGATAGCATAGTTTTATGTTACTTATTATGTAGTTATGTTATTCTAACAATTTCAATGTTCTTTAGTTTTGTTAGACTTCCTTAAATACTTATTTCCTTAATTGCTTGAGACAACTAAGTAGAGTGCTTTTGATCATATTAAAACATTATTTATTGAATGGTTTCCTAATGTGCTGAAAAAAAAAGAGTCAATATTGTATTTCTGAAGATAACCAGTTTTTTAGTTGGAATTATTTTAGGGAGTGGAAAAGCATTGGTTTTTGGCAGTAAGAGACTAATGAAACTTTAGTGTATTGAAAATGCCTTAACTGTTACCACACAGGGCTTTTTAAAGCAAATAATAGCCTCGTGTAGGTATGTTTTACTTAGATCCCAATGTCATATGCAGGTTCTTATACTGTAGTGCATCTATAATAATTTTGCTTTTAGGTGCTTGGGAGAACTGGTCAAGCTTTAAAATTAAAAGATTTTTGCCCTAACTATCTCATTTTGGAATAAGGTGGTCAGGGATTCTCACATAAGGTAGGGGTAGGGCTGGCTGATCATAGTGAAATCACCTGTAGGGTTTCTCAACCTGTGTCCTCCCAGTCCCTCATTTTCTGATATGATACTTCTACAAATGTGGAGTGGTATGGGAAAGAGGAAAACTTTGTGACTTGTAGAAGGTCACCAAGTTTGAACCCACACACATACTCCCACCATCCTTCCACCCAAATACTGAGCCAGAGGCCAAGTACTACTGTTATTCTTTGCCTCCTAGTCCAATCTAGAGAAGTTTTGGAGAGTATTCACCCAGAGATGAACTACCATATCAGACTTAATGTCCCTGTCTGCTAGGAGTGATTGGATTCATAACTGGGTGTGTGTAGAGGGCCAAGGAGAATGAAGTCACAGGTCAAAGGACAATCTCTGATTGTGGGACTCATGGCACTATTAGACTTTGTCTATACTTGCCTGATGGCTTGAATTTCTTAACTTCCTGTTCATATGCTTGGCTTTGCTGAAAATTTCATGAGAAAACAGAAAATGTTTCTAAGTCTTACAGAAGACAACGCTTAGTGCTTTCAAATGGTTTTAGGCCAAGTGAGGTCCCCTTTATCAGAGTGAGCCGACACCCTTGCTCGGGTCATTTGCTAGCCTGTCTCGCTCTGGGTGGAAGATGGGTTGCTCAACACATATTTACTTATCTCCTATCTGTATCTTCATTAGGTACAGCTCCATATATCTAAATTGCCTGCAATCACTGGAGAACTGTTCCCAAAAGGGATATCAAATCCAATCAGATTTATAAACACAGGCAGTATTATTTCTCAGGGTCATTTATGACTTTTACTGTATTTCATCTTCAGTCGATAACAGTTTTACTGCTTAACCTAGGAAGACACTGTACTGGCAATGTTGTTCTCTCCCCAATTGCACCTCCCTATCTTGAGTCAGAATTGTTTTCCTAATGTATTCCCTTCCACAAGGGAAAAAAACTCAACTTCTGAGGAATAGCAGAGGTCAGCAAACCATAGTCCATGCACCATATCCATTTGCTTTGGTAAATAAAACTCTATGAGGACACAGTCACACCCATTGGTTTATGTCTATGGCTGTTTTTGTGCTACAGTGGCAGAGTTGAGTAGTTGCAACAGAAGACATATGGTTTGCAAGCCAAAAATATTTTCTATCTGGTATAGAAAAAGTTTGCTGATTGACCCCTGGTTTATAGAAGCATATTCCTTGGATTATACTCTCTTTAAGTCTCTCGGCTATAAGTCCCCTGCAGGCAGGACTATGCCTGTCCTGTTCATTGTCAGGGCTACCACCTCCCTCTCATGGCTCCCAGGAGATAGTAAGCCCAACACAAATGTGTTGAGTAATTTTTTAAAAATTACTCCAAACATTTATGTGTAAAACATTCTGATAAGAATCCTTGACCATTGATAACAAAGGCTAAAATAATAATCTATTATAACTTGATAGTTTAATGGAAAATTAACTGAAACACATCCAGCAAGCTGAAAGTGCCTTGCTTCAGATGCTACTGAGAGTCACCAAGAAATCCCGGACTCACCAGCACCTTGATGCTGTTTACAATTCCGTCACCTCACATGACATCCTGACACCAAGTGCTCTGCAAGGATTTACTTTCTCCTTCCCTGTTTGAGTCCTGTCCTACGTTTGAAGTGCTTTGATCCCTCCCAAGTAATCCCCAATGAAAACCCCTGTGAGTGGGAAGAATGAAATGTCAGCATTCTGCTTTTACAGTTATAATAAAGTCTTGGTCAAGCTCTTGCTCAAACAAGGTCTTGCTTATTAGCTTTTCGGACAGTGTTTGGAGGCTCGCTTTAGCACCACTGGGTCTCACCAGGCTTCTTTGCCCTGTATGGACCCGTGTGTGAGGCAGTTACATTTTCTTCTCTCTGATCATTAAAGACAACTGGATGGGGCGCTAGAGGAGAAGAACATGAGGATGGGAAGTTACGGTTGGAAGAGTTATGAGCATTCTCATTTGGTTTTCCTATCACTCCAAAAGAAGGGAATTAAAAATCTGCAAACCTTTCCATTGCTGTAGCTAGAACAGTAAATTCTTGATTAACCAAAAACCAGCTAACTGATCAGTTATTTTGTTCAGCTTTTCACATTTGCAACACATCTTATTTCACCCACGCTAGTGTTAGAAAAATATTTCCCTTTCCTATTTTGATAGAAAAATAAGTTTTCTTCTTCCTGTGTTATTTTTCTCTCCCTGGGGCTATTTCTGGAGCAGCAGGGGGTGAGCTTTCATTCACAGGATGCCTCTCTTCTGCTTTCCGCTGCTGCTTACTTTTCCTTCTGCCCCTCAAAGTTTCTTTTCCTAACCCAAGAAGAACTGGCTTCCTACAGCTCTGGGCAGACTCGGTGGCTCATGTACTTGGTTATTAGAAAGATGTATCTCGAACATAATTGATCAGGAACATTTTCCTGAATTCAAAAAAGTCCTTGTCCTGCTTTTTTGGAATACCTGCCTTAGTTTGCTATTTTACCTTCTCTTTCTGAAAGTCTTATACATACACACACATGGACTTTTATATACATATATTTATAATGCATCTTTGACTTAAAAGCATATATATTTAATAATTTATAATGTATATATTTATGTTTTATAACATGTATTTTGTGGTCATTATAATGTTGTTATATATTAATATCATATTAATAATGATATGCAGTGATTTTATATTATATTGATTATAAAATAAGTATATTTATTTAAATCAAAGATGCATCATTTCCCCTTTTTTGGAGCATCTCTGAGTATCTAGTCGAAGAGGACAGCCTGGGGAAAACCATATGACTGAGCAGGACCTGTGGGTTGTCTCCCTAACAGGGTATGAGCACAACTTTAACACCTACGATGACGACTTCATCACAGACCTCAACACGCCCTATGATTACGAGTCTGTGATGCATTACGCACCTTTCTCATTTAACAAGAATGAGAGTGTCCCTACCATCACGGCCAAGATTGCTGAGTTTGACTCGGTCATTGGGCAGCGCCTGGATTTCAGTGCCTTGGATTTAGAGAGGCTGAACCGAATGTACAACTGCAGTGAGTACCTGGGGAAACCAGTCTCAACAAAGATTCCCTCAGCCTTAGAGGTTCCCCTTCCTTTTCTTGAATGTTCTACTTAAGGGAACATGAATAAACTACATAACTTTAGTTGGTCAGTCTCTAGAGTATAACACCTACTTCACAGGATGGTTATAAAAATCAAGTATGCAGTTGTGTTTTGTAAAGTCAAATTATTGGACAAAGGGGAGGAACTATTATTGCCTGCCTTGTTGAGGCTCCTTTTGAAAGGTGCATCATTATGTAAATATCCAGATATGGGCTTGGAAATATTTTATATCCTGCAAAATGCTTTACCCAGGTTAGTTATCCTTAGAGTAAGCTAATCCTCTGGGATGGGGTGTTTCTAAGACGTTCCCGCTATACAATCTTTGGTTCCACTCAGTAAGTATGTGCAGAAGATTTATTAAGAAGAAAGCCCAGTGTTATAAGTACCTTGTTCTTAATGTAAAGGAGTGCATGGCTGGCATTCACATAGCAAAGAATGACTATAGGCCTTTTTACTTTGACTCTGTGAGGTCAGTAGGGCTATGTCTATGTTGGCTAGTTCTAAAATTTATCTGATGACGGTAGGATTTGCATTTGAGAAAAACATAAAAAAAAAAAAAATGAAAGTCTCCTGATCCTGTTGTATTTGAACAATGTGGTCTCAGTGGCTTAAGACATTAGCTCTTTGGAATGAGATTTTTTAACATTTTTAACCAGGTGACAAAACTGTCATTCGCAGCCTCAACTCACACCCTTTTGGACCACTGTGCTTTTGAGAAGGCAAACATCTGTGGGATGATTCAGGGCACCAGAGATGATGCTGACTGGGTCCATGAGGACAGTGCCCAGGCTGGACAAGTGGATCACACCTTGCTGGGACAATGCAGAGGTTGGTAAAGGTAGAAAGTAAACACATTGAGGTGGTTCAGCAGGTTCAATTAGCTAATGCCAGCCAGCATGTCTTGCCTCCGTCAGAATGTTAGTTATCAGACCTGAAAAAATCTAAACAAGGACAAAGAACATTTCTCATATCTTAATTATTAACTCAGTAGAAAGCATCCAGGTTCTGATCACGCAAAAAGAAAGATGCATCTAAGCAAAACTGACATGCACGTATGATTGATAAGATACGACTTTGTAAATAATGATAATGTCTCTAAAGCAGTAACCTCTAACAGAAACATAATGTGAGCCACATATGTCTGTAATGCCAGTTTTTCTAATAGCCACATAAAAAGTGAAATCATCATCTCAACCCTATTTGGAAGTAGGTGGGGTCACAGATGATAGTAGCTTTTTAAAGACTATACTACTGTGAAATCCTTTAGTCCATGACTGTCTAAGAGTTAGTTAGATTCTCTCCCAAAAATGGACCCAGCCTGTCACCTACACCCCAGAAGAAATATCTGGAATAGCTCTAGCAGGTGACTTGACTAGCCATTATGCTACTTTCACAGGTGAAATTAATTTTAATAATATATTTTATTTAGCCTAATATATCCAAGATATTAGCATTTCAACATGTGACCAATATACAAATTGTTATGAGATGCTTCACTTTTTTATATTAATACAAAGTACCTGATATCTGCGGCATATTTTACCCCTACAGCAATCTCAGGCTGGACTGGCCACAGTTCAAGTACTCAATAGCCACATATGTCTGGTAGCCACCGTATTGGTTAACACAGCTTCGGAGAGGTCCTATATATGGTTTGTGTAGTGAAAAAGCCATAAAGTCAGACAGTCCTGGTATGAAATTTGGCTCTATGACTTACTAATTATGACCACAGGGTATTGTATGTGTGCCTCCCCCCCCCTTTTTTAACATCTTGGCTTTTGTAAACCCCTCTGAACATCAAGACATTATTACTGACTTTACAGTGAGGAGGAAGATAATGTATACACAGCACCCACTTGTAGACCAGCAGCTTCACTCTCTATTTTTCCATCTTCCCATGCTAATAGCATCCTTTTCTTATGTGCCTGCCATTGAAATCATCATCTCAACCCTATTTGGAAGCAGGTAGGGTCACAGATGATAATAGCTTTTTAAAGACTGTACTGTTGTGAAATCCTTTAGTCCGTGACTGTCTAACAGTTGGTTAGATTCTCTCCCCAGAAGGGACCCAGCCTGTCACCCAGATGCCAGGCCACCAGAGGGAATGTCAGAGGTCATTAGCCAATGACTCTTTTCCTCTGCCCTTGGCAGAAGGGTTAAAGTCTCTCTTGCATATCAGATTATCAAACATATCATCCCAAGTGTCCAAAGGTTGATCCAAATCTAGAAAAGTTCTCTCTGGATTTCCATTGCAGCCTCTAATCCGACCTCTCCCGTGAGCTTGCGGCTAGGCTAATGTACAATTTCCAGCTCAGCAGGATGGTGATGTTCATGTGAGCAGAATCTGCTAGAAGAATGTTCTAGCACCCTAGTAAGAAAGGAAAGAACCACACCCCAGAAGAAATATCTGGAAAAGCTCTGCTGGGGAACTTGACTAGCCATTATACTAATTCCACAGGAGGCATTTAATGGAACTATGTTCCTATGCTAGAGACCTCTTGCATTGTTCAACTAGATGCATAGACTCAAATATCTTGAAGGATCCCATAGGGTATAACATATCTCCCATTTGAAACCCAAAGAAATGAATAAACACCTAGTGATTGGCAGAGTTGGGATAAGAATTCAGGCCTCCTGAATCCCAGGCTTGAGTTGTTTGATTTTCACTTCAAACTTCCTGGTATAACTGAACAGGAATTCTTGAGCAAGGATCACCTGGAAACCTTTTTAGCCTTGTGAGATCTTCTGTGTATTTTATCTCAAGCATTCAGTAATTTATAATGCAGAGGTCACAAGCTAGTAAGTTCAAATGTTGGAAAGAACATACAGGAAATATAATTTTCCCTGATGTAACATTAAGGCCATTAAGAGACCGTTAAGCTTTATGGAAAGCTTATTTAAACCATCAATGCTTGCTGCCAACATGCAAGGCAAGTGCCTCATGTGAGGCAGGAAGAAGCAGGGAGTACTGGGGAGTATTGCAGAGTACCAGGGAGTATAGCAGAGTACCCAGCACTGTACTATACACTCACTTTATTTTTATCTTGTGAAATATTTAATTGGAGCATTTGGATAAGAGGTTGAATGCTGGAATACAGCTTAAAGAACATCTTTATATGCAAGAATTTTTCATTGTGCTTGACTTTTAAAAGTGTGCAGTTTTCCAAATGACATTGTTTGTTTAGCTGCTTGCTTGCTTTTAGGGGAAAGAGTTTTGAGACATCCAATTTAGGTAGACCCCATCTCTGGCACTAACGTAGACAATTTTTACCTCTTTTTCAGTGTTCTTCCAGAGCTTTCCTTTACATTCAGGAGAAATCCTCAACTAGTCCCTAAGAGGTCTTGAATGCACCTTCTTATAGTAAAGATGATTCCTTATCACTGATATTACACCCAGTTATTAGGCTAGCAGCAGAGGAAATTGAACTCTTGTCATTGTGAATATTTAAAATCCAAATCCAAAACCTCTGAATCCTGTAGTTTCTTATACAACGAAAAGACCAACTCTTTCCCTTGACGTGAATCTCCGATTTAAACAATGATGTTAATAAGGAAAATAGAATTCCTCTAACCAACATCCAATTCTGTCAAACTTCGCTTGAAGCCTGTGTTTAAGCCAGGGGTATATATGTCACAACTTTGGGGACGAAGGCCATCAAAAGAGACAGTAGGGAGACGGCCACCTTAGCCAGTGAAGTGACTATGTCCACTGAGATGGAGAATATTTACTGACAAACGACCTTCTTTTTGTCTTCCCTGGAAGAGTTCTAGCTTTTCTTGCCTGCATGATGGCTGTCGTTGGCTGTTTCACGTCGCCTGGGCGTGGGAAGCCAGAGATGGGTTGTGGCTGCTCTTCCCCTAGGTGCCGGCTACTTCATGCAATTCAACACCAGCTCAGGCGCAGCAGAAGAGGCGGCCCTGCTGGAGTCCCGGATTCTCTACCCAAAGAGGAAGCAGCAGTGCCTGCAGTTTTTCTACAAAATGACAGGAAGCCCTTCAGACAGGCTTGTCGTCTGGGTCAGGAGGGATGACAGTACCGGCAATGTTCGCAAGCTGGTCAAGGTGAAGACCTTTCAAGGTACTCAGGGGTATTCATGCAAGGATTGCTTTTGGCTGAAAAAATCTAGGATCGTGCTCCTTCTCTTCCTTCCCTTTCTCTTCCCTTTTCTCCTCCTTCCCCTCTTCCTTCCTTTTCTTCTCCTCCCACTCTTCCTCCTCTTCATTATCCTCCTCCTCCACCTCCTTTCTCCTCTTCTAAGAGCCCAGACTGGCATATTTGAATGTCTGCATGTTTGAACCACTCTATGAATGTTTAACTGTTCAGAAATTAACCGTTCAGAAAAGAAGCAGCGTTGAGGGTTTACGTGAGGGTGAAATAAGTTTTGTAGGAGGCCAAGCAGAACATATAAATCCGGTTTTCACTACTATGTTTCCCCCAAAATAAGACCTACCCATAAAATAAGCCCTAGCAGGATTTCTAAGCATTTGCACAATAGAAGCCCTACCCTGCAAATAAGACCTAGTGATGGGCGTGGCTACGCAGCCTATCTGCACAACCCCTGCATTTTGTCTCAGAGAGCGGGAAAGAAGACGAGCAGCCCTTCTCATCTGCCCCATGAGAGCTCTATTGCTCCACATGAGAGATTGGGGCCAATGGTTCTAAAGGAAATAGAGTTTGCAAGAAATTCAGGATGGAATTCAGGGTTTGGAGAGTTATGATGATGTTCCAGAAGAAGACGACTTAACTATATTTGAATAAATGTAGATTGTTGTACCGTACTTAAAAAAAAATAACACATCCCCTGAAAATAAGCCCTAGGGTGTCTTCTTGAGGAAAAATAAATATAAGACGCTGTCTTATTTTCGGGGAAACACGGTAGCACTTTGGAGATGGCCAGGGCCAGGCCTGGGAAAATGGGTGAGTCATGGGTGGAGATCAGAAGGGAAAAGGTTTGTGGCAATTTTTTGATGCTGCTGCAGAGAGAGGAGTTAAGTTGTTGACCACAGGTGTTTTTGCATCTGTTTCAGAAAATGGAATAATGCCATTATTTAATATGCTGAAGTAACTACAAGCCTACTTATGAAGTTGGTGGGAAATAAGTAATTCGTGTATATTAATGTTAACTTCACTATAATCATTTACATGTACTTAGGGGTTACTTTGTATATTTCTATAAGAAGCTCAGCATGAATGCCTTAAAATGCTAAGCTAGGCAGCCGAATGTGAGGATGATCTGGCCGTAAGTCAGTATCCAGCGTTATCAAGCTAAGCGTTTACGTTCTTTTGTTGTGGGTAGTGGTTTATTCATAACCAGGAAAAAAGAGACAAGCTTTCCTACTTTTCCATTCAACACACAATTTCTCAATTCAAATGAGTCCAGAGAAAGGAATTATTTTTTTTGTATATCTCTAGAAGAAACTACTGCTCTTAAAGGGAGGAAGCTTCCATGGAAGTCACTGCTAAGAACAAGTGCCCAAATCACCTCCATCCAAGACATTCTGTGGGCTACGTGGGAGCTCCACAAACAGCGGTTTTGAGGGGATCACTTTTCTGGCAGAAAAGTGTCATCGCTGGTTTGATGGGAAAATGACAGCTAGATGCCCTTTAAGAGTAGAGAATTTCTTATACTACCAAGGATTGTAAATATTTAATGAGAAAACGAGTTAGTGTCTCAATACTGTCGATGGGACCTATTATTACTCACTTTCATCTAAAGCTAAAAATGTTACCTTTGTGACCATAAAATCAACCAGGTAAACATCCCATGCTTAATTTAGATTTTTATTTACACTGCTGTGCTTTGCGTTCCATTGAATTCAAAGCATGTCTTTGTAAGTTCCCTGAAAGCACCACATAAATGGATTTTTAAAGTAGTGCATTCTGATACTGGCCTGTCAATGAAACTTTCCTAAAAGGCTAACTGAATATTACTTACTGTTATGTGGTTGGTATTCGTCCCCACTTGGGATGTGGCATTTTCCTTCTGCTCTTCTTTTTTTCTTTTTTTTTTTTGGCGGAGTCTCGCTCTGTCGCTCAGGCTATAGTGAGTGCGTGGGTCAGGCTAGCTCAGCATTCAACTCATAGGCGTAAGCAATCTTCTGCTCGCTCCAAGTAGTGGGACTCAGGCAATGCGCAGGCGGTTATTTTTTCAATTATTTGGTTGGCAATTATTTCTTTATATTGATAGTAGAGACAGGTTCGCTATTCTCAGGCTGGTTTCGACTGCCTGACCTTGAGGCATTCCGGCCTGCTCGGGCCTTTCGGAATGCCTACGAGATGGCGTGAGCATGTGCCCGGCCCTTGCTGGCTTGTAAGTGCAGTAAGGCACCAGGGCAAATGATGCAAAGTTAGGGTGTAGTGGTTGGGGATTCTTGAGTGCTTGCAAACCTGGCAGCGTTCCCCTCCCTGGGATCCGGTTCTGCCTGTCCTTCTTATGCTGTTGCCAGGACCCACTGTTTAGAAGAGCCCGTGTCCCCTGTTTTACCTGAGTCTTATCAACTCCATCTTCTCGGCAGCCGTTGGTGGCTCGCGGATGCCTGTTTCTAGCACTCTGGGAGCTGAGGGTGGGAGGATCACTGGGGCTCCGGAGTTTCAGGAGTTCAAACAGTCTGAGCAAGAGTTGACCGATCTCTTATAAAAACAATGGAAAAAGGTTGCCGAACACTGGGTGGATCACTGCGCCTTAAGCCAGCTAGTGGGAGGCTGAAGGCAGGAGGTTGTTTGAGCACGGAGTTTGAGGTTGTGTGAGCTATGATGCCACTGTCTTCTGGGCTGAGAAAGGGTAAGCCTGTCTAAAGTCAGATAGCATACATACAATTTTCTCTTGCTAGCATGTTTTTACTAGACAAGTTAGCCGTATTTAATAGCTTAGTTATTTAGCCTAGACAAAGTTCTTTACCGTTATAATAGTACCTGTTTTTTAGATGGGGAGTTGTTTGTGAGGATTAAATGGAATTTTATGGAGCCCTTGGCACAGGCGCCGTCCACAGGACCAGTGGTCATGAAGCATTGGCACAGCTGGTCACCACACCTTATTATTCCCCGTCCCAGAGATGCTGACATAACTGGAAATTGCCACGTGCCTCAAAGAAGGGGAACGAAGTTCATCGTACCTTTTCAGGGACAAAGGCAGCCTCAGACCTCAAGCGGGCCGGGATTTACCTGGACGACGTACTTGACAGGAAACCCTGCGCCCCACAGGGGTTTGGAAGTGCGGAATTTCTCCAGCTCCTTTGAGAACATTGAGCCCAGGGACCTGGAGGCGCGGAGCCTCGTGTCTCAGTTCGAGGGATTATGGCTTCGGGTTGACTTTTGTACCCAGGGTGGGCAACCAGCGTCGGCTCTTGGATTGCTTTCATTGTGCAGGCGGGGAGATGCGGTATCCTGGAGTGGCCGGTGGAAACCGCAGCGATAATAAAGATCTTGCAGGGACCGCGCGGAGAAGGATGTCCTCAGCTGGTGTTCAGACTGCAGAGTCCCACCTTTGAGCGTGGGTGGTGTTGAGCATAACCAGGAGCTTCCCCACCCACCCACACCTGCCTGATAGGGCCCGCAGACGAGATTCCCCATATGTGTGAGGAGAGAGTAACTTCCTTTAACCTTTCTCCTTGACATAATAAACAAAGTTCACGTTGGAGGTATAAGTTGGATCCCAATTGCCTCTTATCCTCCTTTTTTTCTAATTCATCTCAGCATCATTGAGCGGTTAATGTGCCAAGGCACTAGATCAGGAACTCAGGCGATTCTGCCTCATGGGCCGAGTCGTAATTGAGAGACGATGCCTGACTAATAGTTTTCCCACTCCGAATTGCCCAGTCTCTGGGAGGTATTGTAATTACTGTAAATTAGCGTGAATGTCACTGTGTCCTGAGACTTCTCAGTAAAGGAATGTGTAATTTTTTCCAAAGAAAAGAATAAGCTGTAGAAGGAAGAGCCTAGTGTTCTCTTCTTCATTAGGATCGCCTCAGTATGAAAACGTTGATCATTCGGTGTGATTTTTTTTTTTTTTTTTTTGAGAACGAGTTCCTTTGTGCCCCAGGCGTGAGTGAGTGGTGCGTCAGCCAGTCAAAGCACCTCCGATCGTCCCTGGCTCGCGATCCTACTGTCAGCCTCGGAGTAGCGTGGGATACAGGCATGTTGCACTGCCGTCAATTTTTTTTTCTTGCAATATTATATATATTGCTTATTTGGTAATAATATCTTTCTATTTTGGTAGAGGACGGCCCACCGGTCTGCTTCGGCGGTGTTTTGACTCGCGTGGACCTTGAGCAATCCGCGCCTCGGCGCTCAAAGTGCTAGGGTTAGCAGGCGTGACCACCGCGCCCGGCCTAGGGCTGTGATTCTTGACCCCTCCCACCTCCCAATTCTGAATTTCAATTCTCCTGGGAAGAGTAAACAATCTCATTTTTTCCAACATATTTTTTTTCTGATTAGCAAAGCTCTATATCCCTATTAAAGACAAACTGGAAAGTGAAGTAGAAAGAAGTAATGCGATTTTATGTTACCTACAACTTTGCAGCGATAAATGGCTCTGTCATCTGGGACAGGCCATCCAGGGTGGGATCCTATGATACGAACTGTGATTGTTTTAGAAGCCTCGACTGGGGCTGGAATACTTTCATCTCCCACCAAATGCTGGGAAGGAGGAGTTTCCTTAAAAATGATGACCTCATCATGTTCGTGGACTTTGAAGGTACTTTTCTTGGTCTTTCTAAATAAACAATTCTATCCTCTGAGTACGTTAGTGATTTGACACTGATTTCAAAGCAACTCAGGAGGGTGGGATCTCGTTTTAGGACAGTGTTAAAAAACAACAGATCCACAATTTATTCGATTGGTCAAGAATGCATAGCTTTAACTGTCCTTAGGAGAAACTGAAATTTTAGTGGTCATCTTTTTGATAACTTATCAACTATAAATGTTCGCTTATTTGAATTTAGTTTCAATCAGCCTATCCATGTTAACGTTATACTTCTTTTTTGTAAGTTCCATCTATAAAAACTGTGATCAGACTATTTTAAAATAAAAATAGCTATTATTATGAGAACCAGGTGGATTCAAAGCCGCTTTTCCATGTCACTAAGGGTGATGTCCATGAGGGATAGAAACTGCCCAGGGAACTTTCTGCAGAAGCAGAAGTGAGTTGTGGTTGGTTAATAACCCGGGGTGTTCCTGACGACCTTTTGTCTATTTCCGGAAGATATCACGTACCTTAACCAAACTGAAGTTCCCGCCAGAGGCGAAAGGCTGAGCCCCCAAGACCTTGTTCTCCAAGGCCGGGAGCAGCAGCAGGCCTCCCAGGAAGGCTCAGGCCCGGCCGTGGCAGTGGGAGCCCAGCCCGGAGTCCCGGGCCAGGGGCAGCCCGGGCGACAGAGGCGGTCAGTGGACAACACGGGCCCCTTGGAGGACCACAACTGGCCGCAGTACTTCAGAGACCCGTGTGACCCCAACCCTTGCCAAAACGACGGCATCTGTGTGAACGTGAAGGGCATGGCGAGCTGCAGGTAGGTCCTCGGCAGGGGGCAGGTGGGGCAGCCGAGCCGTGCGTGTGCTCAGCCCTGCACCAGGCGCTATCACAGGGCAGGACATAGGTGACATCCCATGGTCAACTGCACGTGGTTTTCCTCGACTCTACAGAGGTGTGCCCTGGGTCTGGGGGTTATGCTGCCAGGGCAGAGGAGTCCCAAGTCCCCCATCTCTCTCAACCTTGGTCCCTTTCCCACCTCTGGGGTGTGGTCAACAGGTTCTTGGATTTTGCTGGAAATTCTCACGCCACCACAGCGCTCCCAAATGACCCAGAGCTTTTAGCCTAAGGACTTTCTACTCTGACCTGCTACAGTGGGACTCAGGACCAAGCCGAAATCTCCCCTGACTGCAGATGTTATGATTAGTTATTAATTATTATTATTATTTATTAATTATTATTATTATTAGTGCTATAGTCTGTCAATTCTGTTGTGCTGTTATGATAGTTATGGTTTCAATAATAGTGATAAGAACGTCTGGTATGTCTTGACCACTTGCTACGTGTCCTGTGCTCTCTCCTGAGCATGTTACGTGCATGATTTCAATGAATCCCCACTGCCACCCTGTGGCTTAAGGGCTCTTCGTAGCCCCATTTAGTGTATCAAGAAGTTGAAGCTGAGAAAGTTTTTAAGTCATTTGCCTAAAATTACACAGATGGAAAATGCTAGAGCTGGGACTTGTCTCCAGGTCTGTCTCTCTGCACAGTTTGCTATACCTAATGCTTCTTTTTATAATGTTTGCTTGCATGGGAGCCTAAAGAATGTTTCATAAAAGGATGTACGTGATGACAGAGGTATTGATCGCATTTGAACAGCAGCAGATGTAGGAACCATTCTGCTTGTCTCAAAAAAATCTACATTTCCTCTGAGTTCTTTTCAATCTCCACTTTGTTTCTTCTTTTTTAAACTTTTATTTTGAAATACTTTTATACTTAAAGACACAGTGTGAAAATACTAGAGAGAGCTCCCCCGACCCTCACCCAGCTTTCTCCAGTGTTTACATCTTACACAGAACATAGGCCAATTAGCAAAGCCAAGCAGTCAGAATCTATCTGGGGAATTTCCCGATAGCTGACAGTCTTAGCCAGTGTCAGGTAATCTATTCTTTAAGTGTCCCAACCTTCCTCCTGAATCCTTGGTGGCCAAGAGTACCAAGTCTGAAGTCATACCTCTTGGGACTAAACTTGAAGTGTGAAACACTTGCTGATAGTGTGACCTTGAGCAAGTTATTTGACCTTACTGTAAAATGAGAATGATGAGAATGGCCTGGTCATCACCTCGACCTCCAAAGGATGTTGCAGGACCAGATTAACTGATTCCTATACAGCACTTGAAATGGGCCCAGGCATGGAACCGCTTAGTAAGTGTTTGCTGCTATCAGCGCTGCAGAGGATGCTTGTTGCTAGGAAACACCTGCGGCCAAGGTGGTTGTCACACTCCCCTGTGTCCTGTTCCCTCAGGTGCGTCTCTGGACATGCTTTCTTCTACACGGGGGAGCGCTGCCAGGCCATGCAGGTGGACGGCAGCGTTCTGGGCCTGATGATCGGAGGCACGGCGGGGGTGGTCTTCTTGACCTTCACCATCATCTCCATCCTTCGCCGAACGCCAAGGCAGTGACCCGCCTGCCGGTCTCGGCCAGACCGCAGAAGCCCCTCCTCCACTCAGGCCTTCCCTTCCTGTGGTCAATCCAGTTTGGGACAGTTTCCATCAGCCTTGCTTTGAATGGGGCCTCTAAGGACCAAGGCCTCCAGTCCTACATGTGACCCTGATCATTTTTCTGCCCCCTACATGGTTCTGTTACCCTGCTATGTGCTCCTAATGTATCTAGTGTGTCCTGTGACAAAACTCATCATGCTTAACTGTAAATCACGTGTTTAACTGACTGTCTTTCCCTTGGACTGCAGGCTCCATGAAGTCATGTCGTCCTCATTGACCATGCAAGCCCCAAGTGCCTAGACACGTGCCTGGCTGGCACCTTGTGGGCACTCAATAAAGGTTGAATGAATGAACCGATAAATGAATGAATAACTGAGATCTAGAAGCCCTCTCATGTCTATTTCAGATCAGGTATATACAATAAAATCCATATGTTGGTCATATTAGATTCAAATATTCATTTTTTTTTATCAGACATAATTGTCCTGTTCCTCTTTTAAGATCTTGTGAAAGGATTTGAAATAAAGATTCCTCTGGGCAGCAGGGCTTCACAACATTTGCTTTCCTCTTTCTCTGGCGTTAAGGAAAGGGCTCTAATAAATTCAACAAATATTTGGTTCATACCTTCTACGTGTTCAGCATTGTGGCTGTACACAGGCACATTGGAGGGTAGGGGTGTCCAAAAGCTCTCTTTCAGATAAATTTAAGTTTTGGAGTAGATTTTATATGCTATTCATGCATAAAATTACCATATTAACAAGTTAGATAGAAGAGAACTTTAAAGAAGTATATTTAGATACACTTTCTCTCCATGGCTCCCGAAGAGATAAAATCTAGCTGGGGTGAGAAAGTTCCAAGGTAGATTGAGTAAAAAGGAAGGCTGAAGTTCCCATCCCCAGATAGCAAAGAGCCAGTTCTAGAAGTTTATACGAGAAAAGATTTCAAGGAGCCTGACTGTTCCAGGCTTTAAGTGACCAGGCCTCCTAAATAGAGACTTTATGGCAATTCTGTGGAAGTCAAATGCACTAGAAACAAAATGAAGGATTAAGAAGAGTCCCTTAAATGCAAAGATGTGTGCATGGGAACAGTTTGCAGCTGATGAAAACAGCACCCCCAGGGCAATGACTCTCAGACTTGAGGTACATCAGGATCCCCTGGAGGGCTTGTTAAAACATACATTGCAGGGCCCCACCCTAGGGTTCTGGGTCAGTAGATCTAGGGTGGATGTAAGAGTCTTCCTTGCTAACAAGTTCCAGGCCATGCTGACACCGCCCCCAATACACACACTCTTTCAGAACCACCGCTCTAGTGGGTAGAAAATGGGTCTGGAAGTCAGGCATTTGGACTGCAGGCTTGCATTGACAACTTAGCGAGCTGTGTCATTTTAATAAGAAATCATTTAAGCTCTTAGTTTACCAAGCTCTTGGTCTTAGTTTACTCATCTGTCAAATGGAAATAATAGCTGACAACCTTTCTTCCACCCGACCTTACCGCCTGCAGGGTTGCAGAGTAATAAAATGGGATTGTGGATATGAACATTTTTAGAGTTCAAAATGCATGCAAACATTGCCGTTAAATTTTCAGACTGGATGGGAAGCTATCTCACCACCAGCCCAGACGTATATCTCCAAAGACCAAATTGGAAATAGATTCCAGCTTGGTTTCTCAATGTGCTTCATAGTCCTGCAAATCCACAACTCACTTCACAGCCAGGCCCGAAGAAAATCCCTCCCTCAGTACTCTGCTCAGTGGCTGACCTCAGAAGTGAGCTCCGGGCATTGTGTCTGCTGTCGTGGTGGTTTTTCCTTTTGTTTTGTTAAAGGGAATGTGCTGTGGGCCAAGCCTGGCTTAGATCTGGTTCAGCTCAGAGGCAGAAACCCCATCACAAACCAAGAACCACATTTCCTATACACAAGAGTTTTTCTCTAGAGGAAGCAGAAGCCCCAATGTCAAGGGTAAAATAGTATTTTGAACTAGCACGGTCAGTTACAGTGTGGTATATAATAATAATGATTTACAGAGTGAGGGTAAAACATTTTGGTATTTCTCCATAATCTCCCATCCAGCACCATACATACTACCTAGGTTCATCTCTTTGGGTGATTAGTGGTCGTCTCTGTTGATTGATTAATGATATGGATCATCATAGAGCAGACATGGTATTCAGACTTTCTTTGAGCCCAAAGTCCCCAGTCACTCCAAAAGGACTAGCAGATACTTTGTTTCTTTAAGGTGTTGGGGTAGTGATGGAGGAGTGGACATGTGTGGGGGGAGGCATATTATGGGCACTCGATAAAGGTTGAATGAATGAACCAATAAATGAATGAATAACTGAGATATAGAAACTCTCTCATGTCTATTTCAGAACAGATATACACAATAAAATCCAGATGTTCAGATTTTCTTTGAGCCCAAAGTCCCCCAGCTTATTTCTCTTGAAATAAGTATTTCATCATTTCTAGGCAGTGCGGAATTTGGGATTTAGATGAGTGACTTGAAAATGTGGGAAATCCTCCCTGTGTCTGGGTGTTTGGCTTCTTTGGCCTTACATGGTGGGAATGAGTCAGAGTTGCCTGAATGTCTGAAAATGCCTCATGCTTCCCCCACCCTATTCCACAGACCTCTCCACTGGCTCATTTCCTTCCGTGAATTCACCTGAACCAACCTGGCCATTCACAAACATCAGGTTCTTTGGGGAACATCTGGAACCTCTAATACTTAAAAGCGGGTGGGAACTGTGGCCCCCTCCCCAACAATGTTACAATGAAACAAGATTCAAAGTGAATTCTGCTACACATTCACATTCATTAGCTCTCAAGCCCCCAAATAGTCATCCAATATGTTTTGTGGGCGTAGTGAGGTCTCTGCTCCATGCTTTTGAGCTCTACAATCATCGTGGAGTAAAGGTTCATTTTAGGCATGTGCCTAAACCCTAATCCTAAGGCCAGGTTCCATCAGCTGTCTTCCCCAGGGAGTTTGAACCTCAGCACTATCAATTTTTTGAGCTGGATGGTCTTTGCTGTTGAGGGCTTTTCCATGTATTGTAAGACGTGTAGCAGCATCCCTGGCCTCTACTTACCGGATGCCAGGAGCACCCCTCCCCAGATGTGACAATCAAAAATCTCTTGGAAGTTGACAAGTGTCCCCTGAGGTGCAAAATCATCTCCAGTTGGGAACACCACTAGTGTAGTTGGATCAGACAATGCGATCTTCTGTTACTCAAGGGAGCCCCAGGACCAAATAGAGTCCTAATATAAGATTCTACCCCAAAAGTAAGATCACTGGGGCAGCCAGAGTATTGTGCCTACAGCTATCTTGATAATTCTATTTCACCAATGCAAAGATTATTTCTGTCATCCTTTATACTAATAACAAACACTCTGGTGTAGCTAGAGATACCAAAATTTAAAGTTATGCCACAAATATTTCTCTAGTAAAGACTCTTGGATCATGTTCCTTCAAGGGCTAACTAGTGATGATTGGAGTGTACATTTCTTTCAGAATGCTTTAAGTGCTATTTAACCTCCTCTGGGGTGTGGATTACAGTCCCCTGCACACCTTCTACAGTGTAATATTCATTTTGATGTCTTTATACCCGAATTACGGATAACTTAGCACTTTTCCTTCTTGAGTTCTTCCTTTATGATCAATTATATCATCTACTTATGGCTTGACAGAATCTTAGAGATTCTGAAGTCCAACTCCTGTATTTGAGTAAATGAAAGCAATTCTACAGAGAGCAAGTGCCTTAGGCAGGTAACAAAGCCCATTAACAGCAGAATCTGTTATTCTTGTTTGGCTGCAGAAAAACTTAATAAGATGGGAAGTTTGAAAGGTGCTATGAAATGTAGGAAAATCTACATCTGACATTAGGTAAAGATCTTTTTTGCTTGGTTTTATTTATTATGAATACCATTTCGTGTCTAATGAGTCACCTACTCACATTTTCCATGTATTTATGAAGATGGCCAAAACAACTCTCCTGAGTTAGTTTCAATATAAACACACTCTTCCAAAATCTCTAAGCAAAATACATTTTCAAAAAGATGTATAATATTTATCTTATAGCTGTGAGTACCATTTAGCAAACTATTGAAACCCCTCGTGGGTTGGGGATGGGAGACAGTGGGGCCGGGTGCTGGTGACCCCTAACGAGTACTGATGTGGAAGAAAATGACAGAGAAGATTTGAGCTGGCTAGAGCAGCCCAACAGTGTGTGCGTGTGTGTGTGTGTGTGTGTGTGTGTGTGGTGTGTGTGTGTGTGTAGGAGATGGAGCTAACAGTGAGATGGGGTGAAGACAAGACCCATCTCTCTTCGCCTTTCACAGTTTTCCCCAGGGCTAGTCCTGGGATCCCAGAAAGGATTGAGACATGTCCTCATCTGGGTCACTGATTCCCTCAGGGCCTAGACAAATTTAGGACAGATTGACCCATGTGTGACTCACTAGCTCAGGGGAAATCGTAAGTGATGCTTAAAGATTTCTATCTGGTCAAGAAAAAAAAAAAAGAGTAGAAAAGTGGGTCACGAGGAAGGTGGGAGGACAGTGCAGAGGCGTTCAGGTCACCTGCCCCAGGCACAAAGGCCTGGCCCGTCCGTCCTCCCTCTTTCTACCCAGAGTGCAGTTTGCATCCTCCCGCTCTTCTTGCGGGAAGGTGGGGCTGTGTGGCCAGGTTCCGCCAACGGAGTGAATGCAGACATGTTGCTGTGAGCTTCCAGGAAGCTTCCTTAGAAGAGTCTTGGTGCACACACCCTTGTCCCCTCCCCTGTCCTGATGACCGATAAGGCCGCACCATGGCCAAGTGAGAGCAGCCATCTGGGACCATGCGGTGACTTTGGAAAAGCAGATCAAAGCAGAAAGTATCTGGCTTCCTGAGAACTGCACTGCGTGGAGCTAAGCTGCCGCACCAGTCTCGCAACGCTTAGCCACAGACTTTTATGCGCTAGAAAACAAACTTCTATTTTAAGTCACTGTTATTTCGAACATTGTTGCTTCAGAAACATACCCCTAACTGATGCAATGGTTTCTGCAGGTCAGCACGGGCTCACCCTAAGCCAGTCGCAATGCCCCGCACTGCCACATTACACATACCTATGCCGAAGAAAAGAGTTGCTCTTCCTTTTGGATCTCAATCTATGGGTCCACAGGCCTCATAAATTTCTTTCCTTGCAGATCTGTCTTGGAATAAACACAAAGAGGAGGCACAACCACAAAGGAAGGGCGAGAACTCTGAGAACACTGTTTGGAGCTCCTGGATCCAGCTGTGCCTGAAGGTGTACCAATCTAGTGTCTTTCCCAGTCATATGAGCTAATTAAGAGCCCAACTTGGCTTAAATTAGTTCAGTTGTGTTCTGTCATCTGTAACTGAGAAAGTCTTAACTAACACCCCATAACTGGCTCATCTTTAAAGATAGAAATAATGGATTAGTTTGAAGATTAAAT